TTCTTTTTTAAGTGGGTCAAAGTTCAATGCTTTAAAAAATATATACTTTATAACAAAAAAAGAAAACATGTTGATATATTATTATAACAGTAAGTCTTGATCCAAAGGCATCATGTCGAGTTGAGAGCGCATCTAACGAGACGAGTTTGATCTCATGATCTGCGCCTGTCTAACGAGACGTGTACGTACGGCTCTTCGGATCAAGTTACTGTTATAATGATAAATTTATTATGTACCCCCTCATAACTAGCAAAATATAGCAAAAGAAAACTTCAGAGATCAGTTGCATATTACATTTATCCATAAAACAAAGCATAACTAGTGTTAATTGTAACGGGGACCGTTATAGATGTTCCCCAAACGCTTCCCAACTCTGTAAATAATTCGTGTAAGACTTTTTAAAAATATGTTCAGTATTAAAGGATTTCATCATATAATTATTAAAACTACAATGATATCAACTATATGTCATTTAATGCATTGTACGCGCAAGCACGTGCATGCACACTAAGATGATCATGGCATGTTGTTCTTAAACCATTAACATATCTATATTTTGTAAAAAGAAACAATAAAAAATCTTTAAAATATATATATGCTACTGTTTGCTTAGCTTGGTTACTGAATACCCATACGCAGGGTAGGGGAACAAAAATGCATTCCTACTAATCAGTAATATTCAGCAATAATCAGTAGTGCCCGTAACACTGTGACATAAACCCCTGACCCTAGGTCCACACATTGCACAAAGTTTAAAAAAGCACTCTTGAAATTGCCTATCAAAAAATAAATAAATCTTTTATAAATACAAAGGAGCAGATTTCAAACAATTAATTCATTTTCAGTATATAAGTAGACTTATATCCACCCCTGACCCTGGGGCCATAAAATTCATAATTTTAGAAGAGGCATTCTTGCTCATCATAACTATGTACTTAGTTAGTTTATTGAATTCCTAGGAGCAGAGAAGAAGATTTTCAAAGAATTCACGTATTTTCAATATATAATCAAACTAGCCCTGCCTTAACCAAGAACCCCTGACCCTGGGACCATAAAATTCACAATTTAGGTAAAAGCACTCTTGCTCATCATAACTATACACTTAGTTAGTTTATTTAATACCTAGGAGCAGAGAAAAAGATTTTCAAAGAATTCATGTATTTTTACTATATAATCTATAGAGCCCCCCCCCCCTCCTCAACACCAGAACCCCTGACCCTGGGACCATAAAATTTACAATTTTGGTTGAGGCACTCTTGCTTATCATAACTATGCACTTAATTAGTTTATTTAATACCTAGGAGCAGAGAAGAAGGTTTTCAAAGAATTCATGTATTTTCACTATATAATCAATAGAGCCCCCCCCCCCCCCCTCAACACCAGAACCCTTGACCCTGGGGACATAAAATTCACAATTTTGATTGAGGCACTCTTGCTCATCATAACTATGCACTTAGTTAGTTTATTTAACACCTAGGAGCAGAGAAGAAGATTTTTAAAGAATTCATGTATTTTCACTATATAATCAATAGAGCCCCATTATCATGTGTATGAAATATGCTATTCTCAATGTCCAAAAAACATTGTGCACTGTTTTAATTGAAGATTTGTATTCTAAATTTTGAATAAGTGAATTATTTAAACGTTGGTATAAAAATTGAGAAATTATATTATATGTTATGATTATTGATCTGTGTGATTGAGAAAGTTTTATAAGGTTTATTCATTCACTTTTGAATCATATATCTTACTATGTAAAAAACATAAAGTTAAAATGGATGATACTTAAAAACTGTTACCTTGCAAATAGTCATTTAAGCAACTTTTAAAGGACCTACATGTAATTTGCAGAATGTGGAAGTAATTTTATTTTAAATTTCAAAAGTTTAAAATCAAATTAAAATAAATTTGTAGGATGGAAAGGCAGTATTACTACAAGAAAAGAGAAGCAGCGAAAAGAGCACCAACAAAGTTTTTAAGCGTCATTGTGGATGGAATGGATCAATGTAAGAAAATATTTTCAGAATTTGCTGATCTTTTTTCCTCTTAAACCATGAAAAAGCTTTTACATCTTTGAGAATCAATTTCAGTTATATTTAGAATTACTGAGTATTAAGAGTCTTATACAACCTATTTCAACCTCAAATTCCACTTAAAAAAAAAACACTTAATTTTGACCTCATGGTATATAGCCATATAAAATAACAGTAAAGTTCAATTGTTTTTGCCAAAAACTGCTGAACATCGAACACAATACCTCGACAAATCAAAGTTGTTTGAAAGTCACGACCACTTTTTATTAAAATTCAATAAATATAATACAACATGTTTTTCTCAGCACATCTTTCGAGATAAAGTTTTACTGTATTTACAAACTTTAAGCCTTAAAATTTCTTTGTACAAATAATTTTTAAACACTTCCGGGTAAGTTATACATTGAATAATAATATATAAATAAAAGACAAACAAAAAGTATTCTTATTAGAATGCCCTATTCAAAACATAACTATTTTGGAAATAATGTTAAAATGTTAGCTAGCAAAATACATGTATCTGTTTCATGTTTTAGAAAACATACAGTTTAAAAATACTTTCCTTTTCTCTATTCACTCTTATTTTCTTTTATCCTAAGTTCGTTTCAAATTGTGCTAGTTAGATAAAACTTATTGGTTACATGTATATATGAACCGGTAATTATATGTAGAATAATTTGTATTTATTAACCTTGTACCTGTGGAGAGGGCTTATATAGGCCTTCATATTTGATTTTTCCTTAGAGATAGTCTTTTACTTATATAGATATTTGTGTATCCTTATGTTATCATCAGAAATTTTGCTTAAAATACTCACCAGAGGGCGGTTTACGCTTCGCTGCAACACCTCGGTTATCGTCTTAATTACAAGAATCTTGTAAAACAAAAAAAAAAATAAATTAAAGATTCCCAACAACTTGGTAATTTTGAATATGAAATTAGAAATATCAATCTGTAGAACTTCTTTTGTTTTGTCAAAATTTGGATATATATTTAAAAAAGCTTCAATATATACGACACTATTTTGTTTAGAATTTTAACACTCATTTTCATTTTGAAATCAACGAGAAAAAATTAGAAGATATTTACTACCAGAAAGCTTAAAACACTTTACATCATTGGCAAACCATGAAAAACAATCAATGTTTTTAGATTTTTTTTGACATTTTATTATTTAACAATTCGTAATTCATGCACTTTTTAGACGAGAACAGAGGTGTTTGCGGAGCGCTCCCTATACTGTAAAAATATCTAATTAATAAAAAGACTTTCACAGTCTTCGAAAACAAGGAGCGGTCAAAACATGTCTTTCCGAAATTATGACTCAAAAGTGTACACCGCATTCATAATTTAAAGAAAAATACTTGTAAAACATCCCAAAGTTATACACCAATTGACGCAGTTGGATGTAGATTGGAAAAAAATTGCAGTCCAGAGTCAAGGCAAGTGCGTTTACTTGAAAACGATGTTAAGTTTTAAGTGTTTTTATAATTACATGTATAGCTTTTTAAGCTTCTTTCAAAAGACACGATTGTAGGGATGAGGCTATATGAGTGATTATCAGATAGTGTAGAGTAGATGGTATTTGCAATCTTATTAAGTGAAAGCATTCATAGTAAATACCAGGTACCTGTAAATGAAACGATAGTTATGCTGGATATAAGACAGAATTATTTATACAATACAGATTATTTTATAAACGATTTCTGAATTTTATTTCAGCGAAGAGTAACCTGCCACATTTTGTAGGAAGGACAGCAAAGGTACTTTGGATTTATTTATGTGTATAATGTGTATATCTTTAAATTTCATTGTGACAATCAAGTGCCTCTAATAGGTGAAGAAATTTGCTTTTTTATTACAGGCTGTAAATTCTGCCGACCAGTTAAAAACTCACATCTCTGGAGTAATTGCCCATGGTCAAAATGAATTTTTCACGTTTCTTGACATTGGACAATATCCCCATGACTCCAACTTGACAATCAACATTATTCTCCAGACACTCTTCAAAATAAAAGATCTTATGGTAACTATTCTCTTAATTTGTTTTATAATATTGGTCAGAGAAGACTTGTATGTGAATGTGTTGCCAAATTACATGAAAATGTATTCTGAATTAAATGATGTTTCACTTTTTTTCAGGGAGGAACATTGCCACCCACCTTTTATTAAGAATTAAAAGCACGATTTGCCAATGAATGGTATATTTTAATTCGAATAGGTCGAATTATTCTAAGCGCAAGTTACCTAAGGTGCGAACTTTCTAGCATTCTCGCGCATGCGTAGCCTGTCGTTTGCCCAGGGCATCCGGTTTAACCTCGCTTATAAATTTACTGTGTGGACCTCAGGGTCCACGCAACAATTGATTATATTTTGTTTAACTCCCTCTCAAGAATTTTTCACATGAAGAAGCCTCCACTCGCTGGTGGAGATTGCAAAATGTTGTCCTATAATTTGGCGCTTATCGTCATTGAGCAGTGAGGAATCTTTTTGAGCCAGTACTATCTGTTACACGGGACCTCGATTTAAACGATCTCATCTGAAGGACCGGTCTCCACGTCCCAAAACTGAGATCCATAATACAGATATATGATGCTCTAGCCATGTTTTTATTTTATTTTTCATTTCACAAATTTGTTGCATCAGATTTTCTGAAAGATCATACTTAACAAAGATCATTCCGAACAAGCGTCGGGTGATTTTGATTGACAGGTCAATACATGTGCACTTAGTGTGATACTTCTTAAGCAGAAAAATATACAGAGAGCAACTATGACGGACTATGAAATCAGAAAATATTTAATAAGAAATGGGTACAACTGATATAGAACTGATTTTTTGTCTATGTAAATGGATAGGATAATCCGAATAAAAGTGAATATCTCTCTCTCTCTCTCTCTCTCTCTCTCTCTCTCTCTCTCTCTCTCTCTCTCTCTCTCTCTCTCTCTCAGACATGTAAATTTCAGTATCTTGTGTAATGAAAAATCTACGATAATAGAATATGAAATCCTGTATACATGTTAATGGTAATTATAACCAAATGTTCCAGATTTAATTGTATAACGAATTTATAATTCAAAGGCCTATAGTTGCGTGAATGTCTCAGAATATAAATCAAGAGGGGGGGGGGGCTTCAAAAGAATTACATACTCAGTAATTTTATGTTTTTGAATTATAAGGAAAATACGTAAGGTTGCATGTACATACATATAATCATATAGCATTGCATAGAATTGTGTTCATTTGTATACTTTATCCAACATTTCAACAGAACTTTGCAGATGTTTTTGTATCATGTTTTTAGAGAAGCACTATTTCAGACAGAAAAACGTAACTTTTACATAATGTTAACCGTTTGAGTACAAGTATTTCACAAAAATCCAAGAATCGCTTTTCTTATCTTTAATAGCTTCTCGGGAATATAAAAGTATAGATCATGTATAATAAACAACAATGACTTTTTATCAATGAAATATACATGTTATAACCAAATCCAATCTATAGATTGATTTTCTTTCTTTTAAATTTATTTCTAAAGGCTTTACAACGGTATTGTATTGCTCTTCTATCGCTCAGTTCCCTTTTGAGTACATGTAATATTTTAGAATCGAAAATAAAACTCGGATTTCGGGATAATTTTGCATTCAAATCAGAGAATGAATTAAGAATATTATTTATATATATTCATGTGTAAAATCATAACTGCCATTACAGACTTACACTACACTGGCAACTTTAACCTATACAATGTACTGAAAGTGGTAACCAACGTAATCTTACATGTAGAAGTGGATATGGAAACTCAAAGTCTAAATATTTTTTTATTTGAAAAGCGTAGGTCTAGACGTCTGCGACGTCATGGATACTACCTTCGCCTTTATCTCGAAAGTTCTATTTTTCCACTTACAAGTCAGAGTTATCTATCTTTGCTCATTCAATTATTGCATACACACTACAGAAAACGAATTGATTGACGGTACCTTTTAAAAAATCTCCAAAATGCAGAATCCAATTGAATAAATAATATATTTAGTAATTTTGTACACATCGCTGTAATGTATACTGTGTACAATATTTTTTTCTACAAAGTGCTTAGTTGACACAGAACTGATATTTTTTTGAGATATAAATTTGTAAATCAATAACTGTCAATACAAACTAACATTACACAGCCAAATTTAAACAATATATATACTGAATTAAGTAACACGTAAAAGAGAGAATATTGAATATCTGGAGAGCGTATATGTCTCTGACATCATCGACACTATTTCCGCCCTTATTTCGAAAGTTCTATTCTCATTCACAAGTCAGAGTTATCTTTCTTTGCCTACCGTATACATACTACGTAAATAGATAAAATGATGGTAACAAATATATACAAAATGCGGAATCTGATTTAAAAACAAATTATATATTTAGTATTTGTAGAATAATTTCAGTTTTACAGTAGAATATCTTGAAAAAATACCTAAAAACAAAAAAATCAAAAATTGACCAAAAACAAATTCACTTCCGGTTCGGACAGGAAGTACTGAAAACACACGAAAACAACTTCAAAACAAAAGGAATATCACGATCTAATACTCCTGTAAATTTCGTATCTTTACCTCAAACCATTCCCGAGAAAAATGCTGGACAAAAGTCCATTTTAAAATTCGAAAATCGTCCATAACTTCGGACCGGAAGTGAATTTTTCAAAAAACAGAATTTATTATAAACTTCATATATTAACCTACTAACATGTGAAAAATTGTGAAAATCTATCCAGTCATCTCTGAGTAATCGCGCTCACAAAATTTGGGAGGAATAATAATAATAACTAGAATCTTGTTGCCATGGCAACAAATAAGTCTTCCGTTCTTCTAAATCTGTAAGAATTTGCTTTTTTCTCTGCAAAAATAGATATCATATGTACTCTGAAAGAAAAAAAAACTGCAAAAAGGTCTTTCAGTACTTAAGGTACTTTGATTTTCATGACCAATCTTGTTCTTATGCATTTTAGCACTCATAAGAGCTACACGTGTATCATAGACAAACCAACGGACGATCGAACACCGTACTCTCATAAACTTCACTCTGTTTATGTTCTGGCACAATTGTGATGGTGTTATAAAATTGTCAGGAACTAAGTTAGTACTAAAGTAAAAAAGAATGGGTACAACTGATTGATTATATATGTTGTTTAATGTCCCTCTAAGAATTTTTCACATGGAGAAGCCTCCACTCGCCGGTGTGCAAAATGTTGTCCTATAACTGATATAGAACTGATTTTTTGTCTATGTAAATGGATAAGATAATCAGGATAATCAGGATTAAAAGGGAATCTCTCTCTCTCTCTCTCTCTCTCTCTCTCTCTCTCTCTCAGACATGTAAATTTCAGTATCTTGCGTAATGAAAAATCTACTATTATAGAATATGAATTCTGTATACATGTTAATGGTAATTATAACCAAATGTTCCAGATTTAATTGTATAACGAATTTATAATTCAAAGGCCTATAGTTGCAATATTGTCTCCGAATAAAATCAAGAGGGGGGGGGGGCTTCAAAAGAATTACATACTCAGTAATTTTATGTTTTATGAATTAAAAGGAAAATACTTAAGGTTGCATGTACATACATATAATTATATAGCATTGCATAAAATTGTGTTCATTCGTATACTTTATCTAACATATCAACAGACCTTTGCAGATGTTTTTGTATCATGTTTTTAGCGTAGCATTATTTCACACAGAAACGCGTAACTTTCACATAATGTTAACCCTTTGAGTACTAGTATTTCACAAACATCCAAGAATCGCTTTTTCTCATCTTTAATAACTTCTCGGGTATATAAAAGTATAGATCATGTATAATAAATAACACTATAAGACTTTTAATCAATGAAATATACGTGTTAAAACCAAATCCAATCTATAGATTGATTTTCTTTCTTTTAAGTTGCAGATATCAATTTATTTCTAAAGGCTTTACACCTACTCTTCTATCTCTCAGTTCCCTTTTGAGTACATATAATATTTTAGAATCGAAAATAAAACTCGGATTCCGGGATAATTTCGCATTCAAATTAGAGAATGAATTAAGAATATTTTTTTTTAATATAATCATAACAGACATTACAGATTTACACTACGCTGACAACTTTAAATTATGCATATACTGAAAGCAGTAACCAACGTAATCTTTCATGCAGAAGTGGATATGGAAACTCAAAGTCTAATCATTTTTTTTTATGTGAAAAGTGTGGATTTAGACGTCTGCGACGTCATGGATACTACCTCCGCCTTTATCTCGAAAGTTCTATTCCCACTTACAAGTCAGAGTTATCTATCTTTGCTCATTATCACTACGTAAATAGAGAAAATGAATTTATTGACGCAACCTTAAATCTCCAAAATGCTGAATCCGATTGAATAAATAATATGTTTAGTATTTTTGTAGAATAATTTGTATATACATCGCTGTAATATATACTGCGTACAATATCATTTTCTTCAAAGTGCTTAGTTGACACAGAACGGATATTTTTTTTAGATATAAATTTGTAATTCAAAAAACTTTCAATATACAGACTAACACTACAAATTTAAACTAATATGCATATAGTGAATTAAGTAACATGCAAAAGAGAGAATATTGAATGTGTAAATATGTTGATCTGGAGAGCATATATATGTCTCTAACGTCATCAGTACTATTTCCGCCTTTATCTCGAAAGTTCTATTCTCATTCACAGGTCAGAGTTATCTTTCTTTGCCCACCTTATACATACTACGTAAATAGAGAAAATTTCGGTACCGAAAATATACAAAATGCGGAATCTGATTTAAAAACAAATTATATATTTAGTATTTGTAGAAAAATGTCTGTTTTACATAAGAATATCTTGAAAAAATATCTAAAAACAAAAAAATCAAAAATTGACCAAAAACACATTCACTTCCGGTTCGGACAGGAAGTACTGGAAACACACGAAAACAACTTCAAAACAAATAGAATATCATGATCTAATACTCCTGTAAATTTCATATCTTTACCTCAAACCGTTTCCGAGAAAACTGCTGGACAAAAGTCCATTTTAAAATTCGAAAATCGGCCATAACTTCGGACCGGAAGTAAATTTTTCATAAAACGGAATTTTATATAAACTTCATATATCAACCTAC